GAGTCACTTGGAACAGGCCTTGCCTCTCTCCAAGAACTACCCAGGAGTCAGGGAGCAGATGCCCAAGTCCTAGGGAGCTGACATTATCGGAAATGCACCTCCAAACCCATCCTTCGCTGTTCATCCTTGCTAAGGAAGGATCCTCACCTTTCTCAAAATTGCCATCTGGAAGATAATATGAACTTGACAAAATCAAGAACGTCACCAGGGAGACTGTCCTGACACGCTCAAGGCTCCAGACTTGAGAGAACTGTCAGAGCCTGGCTGGGAAGGGTAGGACCTGAGCAGCATGACAATCCCTGGGAGTACTGAGTGTGCAAGACGTGCAGCTGTGGCTCCGTGTGCGCCTTCAATGCACTGTGTTATTTCTTGTGGACAACGATAAAGGAATTGCTTGTGGCCAAGCCCCATCCAGTTATATGCAGAACATAGATACTAGTAGCCTGGAAAAAAATCATTCTGGCAGAATTCTTCAGCCGTTTTTCTGTTTCCTCTTGGAAAAGGATGTCTAGTAAAAATGGCAGTTCTGTTCAGTGGTGAGCTCCTACCACCCTCTGACTCTAGCAACACCGTTGCATGGCCACAGACCACGCTCCTGCATGTAGACTAGCTTTGGTCTCCTTCCCATTGTAGCACATTCTTGAATGCTTCTGAAGGCATTTCATACAGCCTCTGCCTCTGGAATTGAACTGCTACTACTGACAGGCAGCACCAAATACAGCCCAGCAGATCAAATAAGATGTATCATTCCCTCAGTGCTTGGGTTTCACAGAGCTTGAATACCAAATTTGTTAAAACCTTGCTGTTATATATTTGATTTGATTCGATCTTATTGCAAGGAAGTGCTGCAGCAGAAGATCCAGCTCATACACCCTTCTGCTGAGATGATCTTCTCTAATGCTGCGCATACAAAAATATCACAGAACCACAGTCTTGAAGTTTTGTGGAAGTTTTTGTAACTCCTCCAATGTTCTCTGTATCCCCCAGACACCATCTTTTAACCGTTGCACTCAGAGTTATGCCTTGGCAGCTAAGGATGTGATCCTGCTTGCTAGTTTGCCAGGTTAGGGAGGAAATGCGCTTACCTAGCCCTAGTGAAGACAGGGGATCATTTATCACGTTTTGCTGAAAAGATGCTGAAGCACCCAGGGAAGAGCTGCCAGCAGAAGAGGTCTATCTGGGAAATTTTCATATTTCCATTTCAAGAGCCTCATTCTCTCCTTATTCTGATGAAATTGTAGTGCATGAGGAGGCACAAGACAACACAACATCTTCAGCTTTCGACCACACAACTGCTTCTAGGACTGTCTGTGGTCAGCATCTCCAAAAATACATTCTGAAGTTTCAGCAGATTTGATCACCAGGGATCTCATGAGTTAGGACAGAACCTGAGGTGGTGTCAGCTGTAAGAGTATAATATTTGCCCTGGGGTGGCTCTCAGGGCACTGCATAAAGGATGCTGCCTCATCAAAGGGAAACAGCACTTAGGGCAGGCAATCAAATGGGAACAGGCATCTACAGAAACCCTCTGAACAAGTTTTGTATTCCTCTAATCACACACACACACAAAATTCCTTCTCTCAGGCCTCCCAAGTAGTTTCTGCTACAAGCTTTGAAGGGAGGTTCTTCAAAGAAAGGAGAGCAGAGCAGCCACTGGTTGCCCCTTGCAGCTGGGCGTCTTCCTGCCTTTCCTGCTTCTTAATTACCCACATCAGGGCCCAGGCCCTGAATACACTTTGCTATTCGATTTGGGGCATGCAGGAGTTACAAATGGAACTTTTAACATGCCCAGCATTGCACTATCCCCAGTGCAAGCAACAAAACCACCTACCTGTGGTTACGAGGCGCTGACCCAGATCGCAAGCAGAAAGTCAAGAACTTGTTAAAACTGAACACATCCCAAGTTTTCTTGGCTTGCTTCCTTGGCAGCAGATGTGTCCAAGACCAAGTCTCTAAAGAGTGTCCCAGGTGCCTCATCATGTTTATTTGCAGTTGCAGACCTCCAGCAGCAATGTTTCTCTCCTCCTTCATCTTCCACCATACACCAAAAACACCACAGCGTTTAGAAGATGATACTAGCAGCATCACTCCCTAGGTTAGTGGGATACTGTGGGCTCTGGAGATGTTTGGAAGAGCTGACCAGTGTTTTATTGCTCTGTGGGCTTTTGAGGGCTGTTGTAGTTTTGGCATAGCACTGATTTTGGTGGGATCATTCCTTTTAAGCTCAGTAGACCACAGTAATGGCATGTGCTTAGAGAGAGCGACAAAAGGTTAACTCTTGGGAAATTGTCATTTTCTAGATTATCAGTCAATAAATGGCTAGTAAGAATGTATGCATATGGCTGGTTAAGTATAAAGTCTGTTACACAGAAAAGACTTTCCTTGAAAGTTAGTCTACAGTCATCTTCCGTTATCTACTGTACATCTGACAGCCTTTACAACAGCACCATGTAATGTACTATCTGAAATTCAGTATGTGGTTTGATACCTTGGCAGAGAGCAATGTAGAAATCTCACTATGATTCATCTCGTAATGAGGAAACATTGGTGGTCTCTCTCTGAAAATCTACTTAAACTCTAAAATGCTGAAAATCCGTGTTGGTGACGGCAGCCCCACGCTGCAGCCACTGACTTCCCTAATTGAACAGGTCAAATATGAACAATACCCATGTTGTCAGGATGTCAGCGAAACAGGAAGCCTTTCAAGACTTTAAATAGAGAATTTAACAGCGTAGCACCTAGGTGGTTTGAGCAATATGGTTTTCACAAAGACCCCTTTCATCAGCTGATTTCTAGGCAACAGCACTAGAAAAGGTTTGTAAGTTGCTCTAAGAAAAGAAACTTCAAGGAGTCAAAAGCGTATGATGTACTACAAAGCAGACTGACGGATGTTCAATGTGGGTGACTTAATTCTGCAGGTTCTTCTTTCCATAGTATCAACTAAGTGCCTGTGGCATTTATTAATCTTCTTTTCCATATGTATAACTAAAAAGGTCTTAGTATGTCCTGATGGCCAGGAATCCAGCATAACACTGTTAAGGATTTGGATAACACAGGTACAGAACATGATTAAAAATAATTGAAAGAAATGATCAACTCAGTTCTTGCAACCAGAGATTTTCCAAAGTATCATGAGGGCATGTGCTTCTCACTGTGTAACTTTGGCTTTCTCTGGATTACATTTTCACTCATAGTGAGTTGTCTAAAAGGCTCAAAAAACACCAATATCTCACGTAAACAAAAAGATTGGATATTAAATACTTTATTTACTCATGGTACTTACCCATATTCATTATATTAATTACTATATTTGTAAAATACACTAAAATTCCCGATTCAAACCATTTTTAATAGACTTTATTTATCAGGAATATGTGAATTTCTCATCCACTCTTTATTTTTGCTATATGTTTCAAAAGGGACAAAGGAAGCTCAAAGAGCTATAAAGGATGATTTTGCTTTTACAAGTGGAAATTATCGAGCTCATTATATATTAGCTTCATTAAAATATTGTTCCCAAAGCTAACACTACTTTGAGTATTCATTTTCTGACAAAAGCAAAACAGACCTATTCATCTTTGGCAGGTCCCTCCTCAAGCTCCTCTTATGCTTCCTGGATAGGTTATTTGCTAGTTTCTAGCCTCAGCAATAGCAATAAAAGCGTCTCCTTTGTAAAATACATTTGTGCTAAAGAGGTATGCTAAACATGTGTGGGCTATATTGAGTCAGAAAGTTTCTGCCAAAACAGCCTTTGCTTCAAAAAACATCAAGTGACTGGAAGTTAATGGGGAAAGCAGGTTGTGGGTCCACGGCAGCCTACCGTGCAGCTTCCTGAATTTCCACCACGTGCTGAAAGCCCTCAGGATTCTGGGCTTCTGCTCGGGAACATGAGTCTCCTGATTTGTGGGTAAGTCAGCAGCGATCAAGGGGCTGACAGGGTGTCCAGATATTACGAGGAAAAGTGGCTGTTCCTTGTAATCTAGGGAAAATAATGAAATATTTAATTCCTCTTGCATTAACTTTTTTCAGAGTTGCTAGTTCTGAAATTCAGAGTGCACTGCAACTTCACAATTAAATCTGTTCTCTTCCTTTTTCTTTTTTTCTTTTTTGACATTCCTCCCAAGTTTTGAATTCCAGCAGACTCCCACTGAGGCCACAGTGGTAGGACCAGTGGAAAGGGATTGCAGGGAAGGCGGTTTCCCTTCTGCTCGAGTTTCGGGCGCGCAGGGGCTGTGACCAGTAACACATTTCTGGTGGCCCCAAGAGGTCCCTGGGGAAGGCGAGAGGAGCTGGAGCTCTGGAGGCGGCTGGAAGCAGTGATAACGCCCCAAACATGCATTTCTTTATGGCACCTCCTAAGGGACCCAGCTGTCCCCAGCTCCCCACACTGCCCCTCCAGTCCCTTCTCGCCCTTCACATCATAGCTGGGGTTGGGTTGGGTTTGGGTTTTGCTCTCTAGCAAAACCATTCTGTTCAATGTCTATGTAACTGCAGGGGTTGGAGTTAGTTTTTGAGAAGAGTGTGGATTGAAAACATCTCTGCCATCACTGAGTCTGCTGTTTTCAAGTCGATCACAATGTATTATTTTATAGTATTTACAAATGTGGTTTGTGGGCACAGGAGAGTGAAGGAAATTATTGACATGAAACAGAAATGCCAGGAATATAACTTGATGTGTGGTATTAATCCAACAAATGTGATTCTTACCCCCCACAAAACATCTTTATTTTCTTGTTGTTCAAACTTAAAATGAAACAATCTCATTATTTTGACTTCCCATGTCAATTTGTTGATAAAAACTGATTTTTAAGGATTCTAGAATACAGATCACTGCAACGACCTGAAGATTAAAGCTGTCATGTCTCCTGACAAATGGAAATACAAATAACGAAGTGTATTTAGACTATTGACCAGACGCTAGCCCTGAGCCAAGCACAGTATGAATGTCTTTATGTTTGCTGGCAGTAAATCAGCTTCTCTCTTCTCTCTGTTTTGCACAGTCCTACTAAGCCAATCCTCACTAGAATGAGCACAAAATAAAATGAATAACAGCTTTTGTACATCAACAACATTAAAATGGGAAGAAGCTTGGGAAAGGGCCTCCGACAGAGAAGAATGCTGATAAGTGCGAAACTGCCTGATTGGTAAGCGCTACCTTCTAAACATAGATCAGCCAGACACAGAAGCGATTTTTGGAAGAGAAATGCAATCATGGATTACACACCAGCTCATTAGAAACTGTTGCTGACTGCAGCGTTCAGAAGACATGCATGAAAAGTCACATTTGGGGAATAAATTAAAAGGGGTGTAGTTGTTGCTAGATAAACATATGTAATATATATGCATTGAAGAGGTTTGTAAATGACATTTTTTTTATTCAGATGAAGAAAAGCAAAAAGCTTTAAAACCTTTCACAGTAGAGAGGCAGTAAACTCCAGACTATTCCTATCCCAGTAGCCAAGAAGCTGATAGGAATTAGCATTAAATTAGCATTTATAAATAGACTCTCTGAATGTTTTCATCATCTAGTGGAAAAACCATAACTTTTACTGCTACGTTTCTGCACTTCGTTTACTTCACTGTATAATAAGTTGACTAAAAATGTAAAGCTTCTCAATTTTTACTGCATATGTGCTCCAATTAATCTATGTCTGTAACAAACTTAAGACTGAAAAATTATTTCTGACCTAGATTCTAGTTCTATGAAGCATATATAAGATACATCTCACAGAATATCATAATACTCTAATTTCCCAAGCAGCATAGAGTTGTTTATGTTGAAAGTGATGAAATAAAAGTACCTGATTTCTTTTTTTATTTAATAGGAGAAAGTAATTTACCCCTTAAACATAACTTGCAGCTGCCTGCTGCAAGGACATTTCCATAGTTTTTCTGCCATATAACTACTGCACAACATTAGTCTGTGCTGGAGGCAGTCAGGCTAGGTGACCTAATGATCCCTTCCAGCCTTAAAATCAACTCTGATAGTAACAGGGCAAGAAAACTCGTGCCGTGAAGAGGTGCGGGCAGCTGGGGCAGGCACCTGGGATCTATCCTTGGGCACCCAGCTTGGCATCCGGCACCACTGGACACACGAGGCATTGAGAAAGACCTGGTAGACATGAGCAGTGAGGGCCCTGATAAGAGATTTGCAGAGGAGGGAGCTGGATGAGAATTTGTACCTTGGTCATGTTGTCAATAAATGAGCATAGGGATTTAGATAACTCTCTTATCTAACTAATGAGGCACCAGTGTGGCCCCGCTCACCTTAGAAACTGGACACCAAGGGGGATGTTTGCCAAACAGTTTACGGGTGAATCTGGGAGGGATTTTTAGAAAACACTTTGTTTTAACCCAAACCCACACGTGTAGCTGTGTGCAGGAGACACTCCTGACGTCCACAGGAGCACAGTTAGAGCTGATGGGAAATACCACCCAAACCAATCAACCCCCAGAAATAAATTCCCAGCACCTGCTCCTGAACTAAAGGTGAAAAAATCAAGGATAATTTCTATATGATGTTGCATAAACTCACTAAGGTCTCACTGCCAGCAGGTATTTAAATGTGATTAGTCCAGCCAGTGTTAACCGGGAAATGCACATCCCTAAAGGCTGGGTGCACTGGGGAGATCCTGGTCGTGCTACCACATCACTGTCTTCTTCTGCTCCTTTGGTTCACCTATACCCCAAATTACTGCAATCATGACACTTCTGCTGTGACAGAAGCTACAAAAACAGGGTTTTTCTGTACTATATTATTTTGTTACGGATTTCCAAGTTTCACATCATGGTGACTGTGTCATATAAAGCCCTTTCCAAATATAAATGCTGAAAAAAGTTTCATCGCAAGATCTTGCAGTCCTGCCAAGATAGTGCAGCCAAAAGATACCATTTGTACATTAGTAGAAGACTTTCATGGATGTACCTCACTAAATGTTGATTCAGTATGAGTAGTATGTTTTTATCTTTATAAATGTTACTGCTTTCCCATTCCATTCCATTGTAATGTGTCAACTGCGTGTATTTTTTTTTAAAGTCAACAAACTGTATAGAAAACTGTTGGAATACCTGATTTTCTGTAAAAAAAAATAACAACAATAATTTTTGTTACTTTAAAGTATGCTTGGTATTAAAGTACCTAATAAAGTTCAACAATGAATTTTGTAGCATACTAAAATAAAGCGTGATAGTGCTTTTCTCCAGCTTATCTGTGGTACTGGCTGCTGTTGTTGCAATTCCTGTCCTTCTCCTAAACACAGGCTTGGTCCTCTCTTACCTTCCTGCACTTACCCAGATCCCTAAGATAAGACAAGTCCAAGGAAATTCTGGTTCCCTGCTGAGGGTTCAGCCACATGCTCTAGGTTTGCAGGTTAAGGGACTCTGTCTTAGGTCATCGTCATCCTTCCATACCTGCCTCTATGTATCTGAGCAACAACGTACAGTTCCTGGTTACTTTGTTCCATATTAATCTTTGTTTCTAACTAGAGGATGGAGATTGCACATAAGGTAGTTGAGAGTTAATTATGACTAAATAAAGAACTGCCAGGATGATGAAATCCTGTCCATTTAAATAGACAATGTACTTCAGTTATTCCTCAATACAGCAGAAATCTCAAACAGGCAACTTGGAGTCCCAGCAAAGCTCAGGAACTGATTCCCTCTAATTTCACTCATGAAATTAGAATGAAGACAAAATCTCTTAAGCCTTCAGGGCTGCCCCAGAAGATGCACCAGGAGAAGACAGGCACTTTGTTCCCCAACAGGTGCTGGACCTGCAGCCCCCATGGTGCTGATGTGACAGCTAGAAATGATTGTGATGGGGGAGTTTAGTAATTTCCATACTCCAAGTTTCTGCCTTATTTAATGTGAGCATCCAATTAGCACCCAGCTTCCCTTATACTAGGGAGGGAAATGTCATATTGGGCCCAACAACTTTCTGCTCATTTTCACTCTTTCATACATTTAGGAAGTTTTATTAGTTTTCAGTTGCAAAGCTATTTCTCCAGTGATTTGAAATGAAGGAAGAACTACCTTTGAAATTAAGAAAGAAGCAACAAAAAAAGAGAAAAAGAAAGAAAAAAAGCAGATTTATCCTGCTAGTTTATATATCAAAAAAAAATCCTTCTATATGTCCAGTTGTTTCTGAGTTGTATCTATCATTGGAGCAGCTGGCAGTAGCCGAACGCCTTAGCTGCGAGGCCAGTGATGGTCCATACTGATCCGCCATCCTCATCCAATTAGAGCAGCATTTCCATAGTTTAACAGCTGAAGATGATCTAGAATATCTAGCATAACTCATTACATACAATCAGGTTTCCCCATTGGGATTTTAGGACAGAAAGATAGGAATTTTGCTCAGTTTTCAACTCATCGAACACAAAGACTGCCAAAGAGCAGGAACTAGCTCTCCTCTCCGTCTGTCTCCGTTTTTCTCCCTTAATTTAGTAAAACCAGTAGGAATGTCATGGGAATATTCTGGGACTAAAGCAAGTGCCTGCTGTATACGTGGGGATGCTCAAATGGCAAGAGAAAAGCCCTGGAAAAGCCCTGGAAAATGCCCTGATATGCAGGCAGTGAGATGGGACAGTGGCAGGGCATGAAAACAAGGGAGTTTGGGGGGAGAGTTTTTAGACCATATCAGCTGCAACACACATCACCAAGAAAAGAGCAGCTTTGTTCAGCACAGCAGAATTCCCTGAGCACTGGAAGCAAAACCACTCCGAAATTCTGCAATAGTTTCCTGGCTTTCAGTTTTAACCGCTGCACTACAATACAAAATTTCTCTTTTGCTGTTTTTAATTAATTTTGCATCATGGAATTTGGAAATTGCTCAGCCCCAAGACAACTCAGGGATGCTAGAAGCAGAGCGCTGCACATTGTGCATAGTTGTGCTGCCATCTAACGGGGCTTTACCTGCAGGCCACTCCAAGTGCAGCACTGCATTTGTATCTATGGAAATTGGGATAATAAAAACAGCATTCTACTTCCCAGGAAAAGGAGAAAGAAATGGAACAGCCTGAGAGGTAAGCAGCACCATCCAGGACTTCTGCCCTGCGCTCCCCAGGGGCAGTCTTCTGCCTATCTGGTGAGTACAGCTACAAATCCTCTGTTTGCCTTCTCAGGCAATGATGGGGGTGGCGATGACATTTTCGTGGGTGAGGATGACATTTTCTTTCCTCTTGACATACGACATCCTTTCAGGCATTTAGGTGCACTCAGTGACGGCCATGAGAGACGCTGCCTCTCTCCTGGTTCACTGCGATCTCACTGCCTTATTAAAGAATGATTAGTAGACTTCTACTTTTCCAATTTGTAGCTCACTGAAAGTTTACCAGATGCTGTTCCAAATTTCTCACTACACAGATGACTTGATAGACTATATGGACTTGTTCTCCACAAGTGATCTGCTGTAGATCTTCCCTCAATTTCTCCTGAGAGAGCTGTTCTGCCCATTGCATTGAATTCCTTATCCAGAACCCATGATGCTGGCAGGTCAGTCAGGACAGGTAAGATCTATATTGAGCACTGAAATTAATATGAAGTAGCTGGTAGGAGGACTCCCTTCTGTGATGACTAGCCAAGAGCAAGCAAAGAATCTCTGAACTGTATCTGGCACTCTGAACTCTACAGAGCAGACTGCAGTTGTTAATTTGAGCACTGAGCCCCACTTCTCAAGGAACAGGAAGACTCAGCAGAGTACAGATCACCCTGAGAAGAGGGCAGGGAAATATGGAAATATGGCTATGGAAATAGCTTGAGGATTGAGCTGAGCCTTGGGCCAACATGAATTACAGAGAGACCTTACAGAAGAGAAGAGATGGGACTGAGAGAGCTGAACAGGAGCTCTGAGGGAAGGAATCCCATACAGAGCGTTAGTGTGACATTCCTAAGTCCTCCAGACCCACTCTGAGCTCCAGCAGAAGCTGGACAGCAGGCTTGTTCATGAAGCTCTCTGTGGTGTTACTGCCATGGGGAAGGAAAGTGTCAAAGAATTATGGGGGGATAAAGAGGCTGGGATGAACTTCTACTGGCTGGGGAGTGCAGGGGGAAAGCTCAGACACCAAGCTGCACGTCTGAGAGGCTCAGAGCCACAGCACCGCGGAATCACTCATGTCAGAAGGGACCTGGGGAGGTCTCTAGCCCAACCTCCTGCTCAAAGCAAGGTCAGCTCTGAGCCTATGCCTTTTTTTGGTCTGTTCTTATAACCTCACAAAGGCAGAAACTACACAGAGTCTCTGGGCAATCTGCTCCAGTGCATAGTTAGCTTCATAAATGAGGCAGTAATGAAGTAAATATTAATCGAGACAAGTGGGTTTGTAATTTCTGAGCTGTTCTTACAACGTATGTTGCTCTGTTCTCCAGTGAAACCATTCCAGTCCTTATACAGCGTTTTTCTAACCCTTGGATACAAGCACAGAGGTCAAACTTTAATATGTACAGTGCTAACATGTGGGTTTCGGATTATATTCTTGCAGCAGTTGGAAAGGGTGTATTTCACCCAAGTTTGCAGAATATATTGAAAATAGCTAGAATGGATTTTCCCCCTAACTTTATCGCTGATAAATTACACAGATCTCTAGATCAAAATAGAAATTACTTTGTGTGCAGCCCTCACATTTACAGCTGTGCTTTCTGCAGAATTCCTCACCCAAGAAGACCCAAGCCATGGCTACCAGACCTGTGCCTGCAGCCCAGGTGGTAAATTAAATAATTGTGGTTGGTCAGTACTACTCTTTCTTTGGTTTCAGGATGTGTAAAAAT